ATTGGGTCTTTAGTACCCCTGGTAACGAACACATAAAAACACATAAAGTGGTGAAATTCCAAGTACAAAAGGTTAATTAAAAAATAAATCATAAGTCTAATTTTTTAATTAAATTGATAAATATGCCAATTAATGTAATTTATTAAGTCAAGAAGTACAATTTAATTTTAATTAGCCAAGACGGTTAAGAATTAAATTTGCGCATAAATAAACACGATTGCCTAGTGGTAGAATGATAAAGGAGGCAGTATTGAGGGTCTGAACTCGCCCAGACTTGGGTTCGAGTCCTCATTCTGTGCGATCCTTCCACCATTTTTTTTTTGCTCTTATAGTAATTAAAAGTAGGTAAAACAGGTACCACGTAGAAGAATATGCNAATTAAAAGTAGATACTAATTGCTTAAAAACAGGTACCACATAGAAGAATATGTGGTACTTTTTTGGATAAAACGGATACTAATTATATTTTAGTATGAGTGCAAAAAAAAATCGATCCTTCCACCATTTTTTTTTTTTGCACTTATAGTAATTAATATTAGGTACCAATCGCTTAAAAACAGGTAGCACGTAGAAGAATATGCGGTACCCTTTTGGATAAAATGGGTACTAATTATATTTTAGTATGAGTGCAAAAAAAAATGGTGGAAGGATCACGCAAAAGGAGAGTCAAACCCGGGTCTGGGCGAGTCCACATCCTCAAGGCCGCCTCCTCTACCATTCTGCCGCTAGGCAATCGCGTTTATTTATGCGCAAATTTAATTCTTATCCCTTTGGCTCGAGATTTATAAGGTCCTACTTAACCTCTTTGGCTTAAAAATTAAATAGTACTTCTTGACTTAATAAAATATATTAAATAGTATCAATTTCGTATACATGAACAAGAAAAAAGAGATTAAGATCAATTTATTTGATTTTGGGTAAATATGAACAACAATATTTAAAATTAAATCCTTGACAAATTAACCACAAATATATAAATTAAAGATGATTTTTAGACTCCAAAATCCTCATATAATACATAGATTATTTACTACTTCAAAATTTGGCCGGAAAAAGGACAAATATTGCCGGAAAAATATCAATTTTCGCTGGAGAAAATTCACGCCCGGATCACTTCTTACACCGGATTTTTTGCCGCCAGAGTTCTTCTCGCCAGATTTTATGTCGTCGGAGGACGAACCTGCAAAAAAAAATAAGAACAATAAAGACAGGTAGTTGCCGGAGAAGGTGGCGGGAGGGAGGGAGACGTGATGAGGAATTTTTAATGGGGAAGGTGATTGGGAAAAAAATATAATATTGTGTATGGTAAGAAAAATAAAAAAAAGGTATAAAAATAACTAATAAAATAATGTAGAATGGTAAGTTGTAGTGCGGTGATGTCATAAGTTAATTTATTTTTTATTTATTTTAAGAAGAGGGAGTTAAGTGGAAGAATTATATGGGGGTAGGTAGTGAAATAGAAAATTTTTTTGCCTAGGAACTCACATGGAACTTCATTAGGGGTTTAGAGATTTTTAAAGAAGTGGCCCTATTATTTTTCCTTTATTTTTATAGCCATTGAATTAATAGTTTACTAGTACAACATCAATAATTATACATGTGTTAGTTTAAAAATTTATACTTATTAAAAAAAAAAACATGTAAGAGATATATTTTTTAATTTAAATTTCAAATATTTTTTAAAAATTGCATTGTTGTTTATATTTAAAACGAAACTTTTGCTTATACGATTTGTCCATCTTATATTATAATAATTTTAGTAATTTACATGTGATGAATTTATAGATAACTTTTATATTTGATACACAATTTTATTCATTTCTAATTAATGAATAGGTATAGAATTATTTATTTATTTATTTTATATATGAAATATGTATATGAAATCGAAACTTATCAAATGGTGATTAATTTAATTCAGTATTTATATGTGAAAAAGTGATAAAATTTACAAAAATTATTGACATTTAAATATATTTGTACTCTAAGTTAACGTTTAATAATTTTAAAAGTATAGAATCCATATATCCACAAATTACTACTAAAACACCATAAACACCATAATTCGATATATAGGAATTGAATGGGAAATTTATATATAAAAAACAAAAAAAAAATTAAGTGGACACAAATAAAAGAAAAAAAATCTGGACCAAAATAAAAAACCAGTATTTTGAGAATACGTTTTCTTTATAAATTGTCATTGAAAAACGTATTCTCAAAACGTATTTTGAGAATACGTATTTCAGTAAAAATTACATGAAAAATATATTCAAAGAATACGTGCTTTTGATTGTTTGCCACAATTTTTTTTTTTTTTTTTTTTTTTTTTTGTTTTGTTCTTGTCCACTTCATTTTTTTTTTAGTAAAAAAACCAGGAATTGAAGCACAAAAAATTGACGACCTTGTTGATTTTAAATCCATAGTATCCACAAACAAAAGCCCTACTTAGAAACCCCACCTGCAATAACCATAGGGAGCCCACGTACATTAAACCCATTTATGAACCTTTGATAGGTCCAAACACCTTCGTTTTTAAAGTAGTTACATGCCACCAAACTTGGCCTTTCAAACGGCGGTATTATTTTTGTGAATGATGGACATTTTGTTAAACTGATTATTAGTTAGATAACTATATTTTTTTTTATCATATTAATATATTTACACATACATATATCATATTTTGTAATATAATATAAGTTAAAGCATGTAAATTTTTGTTAAAAAATGTATAATTGTTTAACTGTTGACTAACCTGATAGAACAACATTTAAGTGTTGCGAAAATGTAACAATTACGTCTTACGTACACAAATGTAAAATGTTATATTCAAAATACAATATCGACAAAATTATTTATTTAATCATTAGTTAGACAGTCTAACATTAATAATTGTGTGCCTTGGCCGTTTTGAGTCTTTAGACAACTCTAACCTAAAGATGCGTAAAATTATCGAACATATAAGTTGGTTGCCATAAATTTTCATATCTTCCTAGCTTCTTTATTACTATGACTTGAATTCCATTTCAAGATTCTCTTATGAATTACTACCAATTGACCAATGTTTGATTTATTTCACATCGAAATCCCCCTTATATATAATTCTAAAATGTACTAATTTAAGTGGTATGCTCAGTTCGGATCCTGTGTGACAAACTTTTAAGTTTTGTTGTTTGACTTGGATGAATTTTAGTTTATTTTCAATCCAAAAAAAGTAACTAAGTTTGGAATATCCATAAATATACTGGAGCTATAGATGTTAAATGATCCTTGGCTCGACGGACTAACCCAGCAAAAAAAAAAAAAAAAAGGGTTATGACCCTTTATTGGCAATCCGTTTAAATTCGGGCTTTTTAGGTCTGAACCGTTTATCCCGAAGCATGTTAGGACTAACCCGTTTAACTTGTGTTGGACAGTGTAAATGTTTACCGCGGGTAAGGAATATGCCCCCAATGTTGTTTGTATATTACAAGTTTGCTATTCTACTTCACTTGCAATTATGAGACAATTATTTTATTTTACTCCACACCAAAATATTTAAGCCAATCATAATAACTAATAGGATACACATGAGACAAATACATAACACATATAATATAGTGATAGAATAAATTCAACAGTATGATACAATATCGTAAAAATTCTCAAAGCTTACAAAATAACTAATAAAATGGTAATGATAAGTAATAGTTTGAACATTTTTTGTTTATTTTGAGAAAAAATATGTTATTTAACAGTTTGTAATGCGTGTTCATATATGAAGCGTAATTGTATATATAGAGTGGTAAATACTAAATAGTCGTTGAAAAAAAACCGTTAACTAAGCGTTGTAATTTTTATGTAATTTTTTTTTAATTTATTGTTTTATATAATTTATTATTATTATTATTATTATTATTAGTATTATTATTAGTATTATTATTATTATTATTGTTGTTGTTGTTGTTATAGCCGTTTAGTTCGAGACCCGCTAGGGTTAGGGTTAAGTCTCTCTATTGGTAGCTTGTTTAAATCCGGACTTTTTAGGCCCGTACCGTCTAGCCCAAAACTGCTAGGGTAGCCCATTTAACATCTCTAACTGAAGCATTAATTATGTTTTAATATTATTTCATATTGTAGATATTGTCGATATAGTATATTTTTTTTGAAGGTATCGTTCAAGTTTCAGCGCAGACAGTTTCCTTTCATGGTTTCATATGCTATGAAAATCAATAAGAGTCAAGACCAGTCAGTCTCCGCCGCACATCGTGTTACTATTGAAGAGTTGTGCATTCAGTCATAATGATTTGTGCTGATGGGGATTATAACGATAAGAAAAACACGAATGTTTTTTATAAATAAATATTTAATAATATTATATTTATTTTCTTCAGTCATTTTTTTCTCATTAATTAAATTATGATTTTGATTTTTGTCTGTACTCTTCATTACTTTCTTTTATATTATATCACTTTTTCGTACAAATGCATGGATTAAAGCTAATATAAATAAAATGAAACAAGACACTTGTAAGTTCAGGTTACTATAACTCTAAATCATTACATGAACCATAATTAATTTTAAAAGAGTTGGTTGAGTTATGTTTGGGTGAGATTTTGAGTTTGTATTAAAATAATATTAAAAATAAATGATTAAAGTTGATTTTGTGTAAAAATAGATATAGTTGATTGGAAGTGATGAGTAATTAAAATTATGTGAACAAATCGAATTAAAGTTGATATGATGTGTAAGGATGATTGATTGATATTATTTAATTATATTATATTATTGAGAATAGTAAAATTAAGTTAAATTTTATGAAAATTCAGATTTTATAACATGTAGTGTAATTGATTTATGAAAAATCAGATTTTATAATTTGAAGTTTAATTCGTTTGTTGATCCATCGTATAAGTATAGAGATATGAAAAGATTAATTGAAATCTTATCCAACTTTAATCCGAGTTTACCAGATCACTTTGAACATTTGATCTCCTTTTACCTTAGGTATCTATTTATGTTCATAATTCTAAAATCCAATATTAATAAATAAAAACAAAAGTCCCCCAAAATCTTTTACAAACAACAGAGCCATACACAGAGCGCCTTTTTCATTCAGTTTTTCACCAAATGGCAGCCATCACCGATTCTACCTCCGACGGCGCCTCCGTCCGACGGCGACGGCGGAGGCCACCGCCCAAAACCCTCCACTGGCTCGCGGACGTGATTGCTCGTCCCGCTCGGGCTTTAGCAGGTTCAATTCTTACCGCCGTCTTCTCTGAGAGCGAGGAGTCATCGTCTGATTGGGACGACGAATCAGATTCAGGTGCACATTCGAAGTTCGTTCGTTGTTTTTTTGTCCTTTTCTTCCCTCAATACAATTGTTTGTGAGTTGACTTAGCCGCTTAGTGAGTATGCAGTGTGATTCTAAAGTTTGCAGTTTAGTCTGGATGTAAATTAGGGTTGATTGCTAAATGTAAAGGTGTGAATTTTTATTTAATATGAGGTTCACAGAAAGAGAATGTGATTGTTTAGGCGTATGAGCCGCTGGTAGTCTGGCACGATTTTGTGGTCCTGTCTTTGTTTCTCTTTTATTCTTCATCCTTTTGAGCTCTTGTTTGACAGATGATGGTGATCCAGACAATGTTAATGGGCATGAAACTGATTCTAATGTAGAGAATGAGCCAAACGTGGTAAGCTGTTGTTTTGAACCTATCGACACAAGTTCTTATGTGAGACAGTCTAACTATTAGGCGGGTCTACCCGTTATACTTTATGAAAAAGTGCATACTTATGCCATCAAATGTCATGCTTTTGTTTATGTTGCTTTTTATGATATGACATTTTCTAGTGGAAGTATGTTTATGTGTAAAAAAGTAGTTAGTCGGTATAATGGTTAAGTCAGCCTAAACGAAGACCTACCGATTTATTGGTGGGATCGAAACATAGGGTTTGGGTCGGTTCAGAAGAATCCCTCACTTATCAATATATAAAGTTGTGATCTGTGTTGGATAGAGAAAAAAACAATTAGTGTTGGTCGGGTATAATAATAGTGGACCATTGGAGTCTCAAATATACGATTTCTTATATTTTGTGCTTAATTACGTGTGTAGAATTGTTTAGTGCATGCTTGATAACATGATGCATACATTACTTTTCAGTTTATCAAGATTTGTCTGTAAAATTTATACACGCGCCTCTTATATTTTTTAATGATTTTTCTGGTAGTTGCCTCTTCCGGAAATTTCGCAGCATAGGCAAGAATCTCAAGTCATTGTTCACAAAACCGAAAACAAGCAGTTAATAGAGAAGCTCATAATGCAGGAGTCTTTTTCGAGGTAATTGCCAAAACCTTAAGTTACTTGTTTATCTTTCCCCGGAAGTGTATGGTTACTATACTTTACATACATAAATGTATTGAATTATTCCCTGACTTTCGATAATCACGGCATTTAAAGTTTAATTTCGTTGTGGAATCTTTTCATGGTGGTTATATGCTTTCAGTTCAGTAAACTGACGAGTAATATTGTTCCAACTCGAGGACACAAAAATTCTCCAATTCTTGATCAGTTAAACCTTGTGACGCACGTTCATTTAGGATGTTAATTTGCCGTTGATGGAAAAGTAATGAGTCATATGATATCATTTACTGTCTCGTTGTTCAAAAGGTTCACCTTTGATATTGTTTTCAGGGAAGAGTACACTGGGCTGATAGAAGTTCTTAATTCGCGGGTTACCCCTTCCGTAGCTGACAATGGTAGTATTGCATTAGTTTATGGACTCACAATTCAAAAATCACAATCCTACAGTTAAAAATATTTATTATTAACAACTCATTTCATTTTAAATAAACAAAAGGCGCCAACATATTCAATCAAGCTGCTCAGGATGCAAGAAAATGGTTCCAAGAGAAGAAAAAGAGGTCCATTCCAGTGACTAACTCGGTACGAATGACCTGTAATCATAACTCCACCACATTCGGTTTTAGCATATGTAAAGATTTATCACTTCTTTCCAAGCTTCACGATTTTATTGGACTTTATTTCATTTTCTGTGAGTTAGACAATTGTTTTAATCAAATTTCTTGTCGTATACACATTGCACAACCAATACCCTGTTTTTCTATTTTTTCTTCTTGTTCTGCAATGAATATATTGTGCTTGAAAAACAATCTAATTGACATGTCCGGATATTATTTACAAACGTTACTGAAAAAATCTGATGCTACATATGCTGCAGGAACTTACTGGAGCTGATAAAGTAGAACCTGCCATTGTAGGTCAGTTTTGTAACATTTTTTATTGTCTTTTGCAAATTGCATGTTTTTGTTAGTTATCTTTAAATTCGATACTAATTTCCCTGGAAGAAAATGAGTTGTTTTTCTCATAGAGCAATCGCGAAATAGCAGTTGCTCATGTTATACTCTTTGAACTAAATTCTCACGATTTCATCTCAATCTTTCTTTTGCAGATACACACTCGACTGAGATAAGTGGGACCCGGTTAACTGAGTTAGCTAAATCCAGAAAAATAATGTATGTAAATGGTTTCTCATCATCTCAATTAGCAAGCCATGTAAAGTTCACATATGATAAAACAACATGCAAAACAATATTCGAATTGCAATATTTTTTTTTCTTAGACGAAGGTCTTCTTGTTGTCCAGGTCCAATTCATCTCCAGGAAAATCTACGGTTGTAAGTAACTCGATTGCCAATCGAGAGCTTTTACGTGAAACTCGTAAGGAAATACCTTTCGTGATTGAAATCGATAGTGATACAAGTGGTTCTCATAAAGGTTAAGACAAGCAAATATGCAGAGAATCAAAAGTAGAGTTAAATGAGTTGGTACATATTTTTTGAAATTATTTGTGGATAATCAGGTGGAAACAATCTTTAGGGTCAAGTATTTTTAGAGATACCTGCATTTTTGTTGGTTTTGGATAATTTAATTTTGGTTTTGATTGTGGTTGTTTTATTTAGTTATTGACTGTTTTTAGCGAAGGCTGCTTTTCTATTTTGAATGATATGATAATTCATTTTCATTCCTCTCTTTCTTTCTCTAAATGAATAAATTATTATTTTTTTTTTCAATGGAATCATGGGATGAAAAAAATATCTAGATTAAATAACATTAATGATGACAACCACATTTTTCTAAACGATGCATACTTTCAAACAAATTAATAAATAAAATAACTTTTCAAAAATATGCATACTTTCAAGCAAATCAATAAATAAAATAACAGTAAGTTTTAAACAAATCAATGAATAAAATAATGGTAAGGCTATTTTTAGGCAGATTTAAATGTTAGACAACTATATCCATACTTTCAATTTTAAATGATATTTTAAAAAATAACATAAACAAAAGTATGCCATCTCAATGCAACATTTTTATTAAAAAGGTTTGGCCATTCCATACAACAACTTGTGATAAAATAAGATGTGATATGTTCAATGAAGGACTATTGTGATGCATGGAAATAATTATGGACAATCGAGACTTCGGGAAGTTGAAAATTTTTATCGGAAAAATGCATGAAAAATGTAAAGAAAAACATACACAATGGAGCTCTAATTTACACTAAATATGGTCTTGTTTGGATGTTAGCGAATTGATGTAAAATAAACTGATTGAATCTCATTTAGAGATTTGACCCGTCAAATATGTTAATTAACTTGTTTGACAAGGACTTATTTAATTAGTTTTTTTTAGTCCAAAAGCTAATTTTGAAAAAAAAAAAATCAATACAGGAGCATTTTTATAGGAGAAGATTAGTAGAATAACATGTTAACATAAAATTTTCAAAATAGTTATAAACTCCATTATTTACAAATAGTTAATATAATCCATCAGTCAAATCAACTGATACAATCAATTGGTTATTCATTATCAACTAACTCTAAACAAGGCCATAGAACTCCAAACTTGAATAGGCAAATGGTTGTTGCGGCATATAAAGTAGGAAACTACTACACATCAATTTTGAACTATCAAATCCCACAAAAATAATTTTTTTAATCAAAATAATGTAGAAAATTTGAGCTCCAGCTCTAATTGATCACAAAAAATTAACAACAGACTAATGTAATTTGTAAATTCATAGAGTAGTTTATTTATTTCAAAAAGACAAAAATGAAGTGGACAAAAAAAAAAAAAAAAAA